CACGCTTGCTCCCTGCAACGCTTCCCCCGCAGCGCCATCACTTGCCGTGATGAGTTGCGACACGATGGTCCTAACGGTGTCGGTATTGTCTTTCGTGCAGTGCGCCTCAGCGATGGGAAACGGTTTCTCACCCACTTTTATAAGGACGGGGGCGCGCAGCGAGTAAATCGTTCCCTCCTCAGCCGAGACTTCCTTCCAGCAAAAAAATGAACCGGCTGGCTCACTCAGCGAGGCAACCTCAGAAGCTTGGCTGCTTATGCACATTGACAGCATGCAAAGAAGGAGGAACAGCATCGCAGAGGAAAACAGGTGCCGCGGCATGTTGGGCCTCTCTCTCACTTCTTTCACTCCTTGCGGTGGTTCCGCGCGGGCGGCGGCGGCTGTGTGTGTGCGTGTTTGTGTTGCTGTCGGTTTTGGCAGCTGCAGAGCCCTCAAGGCGCACAGCGACAGCAAGGAGCGTTTGGCCTCTCCATTCCTTCGGCGCGCTTGCGTATGCGGGCAAGAGGCGGAAGAAGTGAAGGGGCCAAAAGGGAAACAGGCGACGATGCAAACAAGGCGCACTCGGGACGCGCAACTGTCCCGCAGCATGAGACTCACGCTCTCCATATTGGAGCTATAGAAGGTTTTTACAGTAACAGCCAGAAAAATTTTTCCAAACTCAATTGATTCATTAAAAAAGACACATCTTCCCCAATGTATAAATTGATGTCAATCCCCACTTAGCCGGTTTTTTTGTTACCCCCCCCCCTCCTCTCTGTCACTCTCTCTCTCTCTCTTACTTTTTATTGTTATTAGTATAATGTTATTGGCGGTGGGGTTCGGGCCGGTGTATTAAGCAAAGGCGTTAGTGGACGGTGTTGGGTAGCGTTTTGACCTTGATTTTTGGGCCTGAAATGAATGCTTTTTGGCGGCATGAGTTCTGTGTTTGCCACGTTTTTTTTGTTTTCTGCTTTCTTCGCTTTGCTTCTTATTTAATGAATAGAAAAAAAATCGAGTCGGCAAAGGAAGTATTTGATATGAGCTTTACACAAGATGAGGATAGTGGCACTCTGAATGGCGAGAAGTCAGAACAGAACATTTCGATTGATAATTTGTCTGTTGGTGACCCCAACAACAAACTTCATTCGTTCTGGGGTAAGAGCGGAGTTTCGCTCTGCGGGCGATATTCGCACCAAGTCCCAATTGACAATGGCTGTGAATGGTCTGAGGGATGAAAAGAAAGATAATTTTTTATCGCCTGTTGCACTTTCTGAAAAATCTGAAGAGGACTCTGGGCCCAAGAAGTCTAAAGAGGTGTCGGAAAAGGTTGGGAAACAGATGCTGATATTAAAACAAAAGTTGCAGGCGGAAATGAATAGCAAAAAATTGCTAGAAGAAAAATTAGAAATGGCAAAAAGCACAATTGCCACACAAAAAAAAGAAATTTTGTTGCTCCAGCGTCAACTGCAGTCAGGTGTTAGCGAGTTATCGGGGCGAAGACTGGAGGGCTCTCTTCGAGAGGCAAACTTGTTAAAGCCCAAGTCAAGTGGTTTGGGAAGGGCAGAGAAGTCTTCTCAAGAAGACGATGATTCTCACTTACAAAATAGCTTGAGTAGGCTATGTGCTGAAAGAGATGAGCTACTGAACTGTGTGAGGAAACAAGGTAAGCTGATAGAAATCCTGAAACGGCAGAAGCTGCATTTGGAGGCCTTCATTCTTGCCGATATGAGTGAAAATGAACTTGGAAAGTACTTTGATCTTGCTCGGATATAAAAAAAATGTATTGATTACTTGTGCGTGTGTGTTTTTTTTGGTGTTTTTTCTTCTTTTTGTTTACTTTTTGCTTCTATAACCTTTAGTTTGCTTATTGGTGAAATAGGCGTTAAGAGATGGCTGTATTTCTCCGTGTCATTCCATATGTTTCTTTTGTTTTAAATATTTGCTCTTATTTTTTTTCTCTCTCTATCTTTCTTTTGGTTTTGTGCGTTGAAAGCCATGGCGTGTGTTACGGGGGATGATACTGGACTGGTTAAGGTGTGGGACGTTACAAAAAGTTCGGGGGCCACTATAGCCTTTTCCTATGGTGAGCAAAGCCGAAAAAGAGGCATTGCTGGTATGTGCTGGATGGACAGCTCAACGACAAAACTTGTTTTTTCTATGAACGATGGAGTTGTTTCGGTATTGGATTTAGAAGAACGTAAATTGCTGCGGTCGAAAAAAATGGGGCTTGTTGCGGGCTTACCTAATGGTCTTGCGTTTGTGAAGGACAAACTTGTCATGGTAGCTAAAGATGGCAAGTTATTAATTGCTGACGCGTCATTTGAGGAAGGGAATATCCTCAAATGTAATGGTCCCGTTGAGGCTTTTCATATTCATCGAAAATTTGGCATGTTTGCAATGGGAGGCCAAGATAATGATCTTTGTGTGTATGATGTTTCTGCAGAAGATGTGTCGATTCCCCTGTTTAAGGCGAAAAATGTGCGGGATCACGTCTTAGATGTGCCATATCCTGTATATGTGACTGGAACATGTATCATCAATCCCTTTGTATTCTGCACGACAACCGCCTATCATCAAGTTCGTTTCTACGACCGTCGAAGTAGTGAAAGACCTGTACAAGAATTTGAGATCAGCCGTGAAATTGAGCGTAGGCCGACGACGCTAATGCAGTGGAATTGCAATAAATTTCTTATAGGAGAAGCGAGTGGGGATATACACTTGTATGACACAAGACGTGGTTTTGCGTCTAGAGCCAAGTTGCGAGGTGGTGTTGGGAGTGTAAGGAGCATGGCAAAACATCCAGCTGGTCACCAACTTCTTGGTGTTGCGGGGTTGGATCGCAAAGCAAGAATATATCACGTCCCAACTGGAAAGCTGTTGATGACCATGTATGCCAAGCAGAAAGTGTCAACCATACTTTTTGATAGGCATTTGCCGCTCGCAGATAATACCGGGGCTTTCAGTAGTATTGCAAACACCAAACAACCGAGTAAATCCTCCACACTTGGTGATGAGGTTTGGGATAACATGGATCCTGTGGTGGATGACATCACAGAGGGTGCCGTTTCGCTCTAGTAAAACATGATAATGGAAATAATTTAAGGTTATAAAGCTTTACGCAAGTGTTATTGCTATTATTGTATTTGTGCTATAATTTAATGTCCGTGCAGAAATTGGAAAATAACAACAAAAACATACTGGATTACGGGGGAGAGAAAAACTGAATATATGTGTATATAGTTGTGGCATTTTTCTTTTTATTTGTTTTCTTTTTTTTTTAATACTAACAATACTATCAGCAGCTACAAGTCATAATGGCTTCTTGCAGAACAGGACGGCTCCCAATGCCGGACGACCCACTTTTCAATCCCGCACATATGGCTGGTCTTCGGTCAAGTGCGCGTATTGCAGGAGTTGGATTACTCGCCGTTATTTGGATCATGTACCAAAAGCTTTACCACTCGCACCATTATATTACATACAAGGGCCCCGACAATCCGTTTGCTCGTATTCGCCATCGTCGCTACCCCGGTGGAGGTTTCTTCTTTGGATGGGGTAACAATGGGCTGAATCGTGATTGTGGTTTGAAGGAATGGGAATGCTGGGCGGGGTACACCGGAAAAGAGTATACGTATTAGGTATTTGGATTTCTGTAAGGAAAAAGAAGAAAAGAAGAATGTTTTATTTTTCTTTTCTACTGTAGGGATGTTTTATTTGTTTTTGTTTTTACGTTTTTTTGTTTTTTATTATAGGATCAGGATAGTAGTGGTTGCGAATTGATGGGGAGCGTAGGAAAATCTTTTGCACATTCTTGTTTCTCTCCTATATTGGTACCTGGTGTAACACAATTGTTGGAGTTTTGTTGAACCCACATATCTTACCCTTCATGGTGCTCTGTGGTTGTTTTGTTTTCTTGTTTTTGCGTGTGCTGTTGTTGGTATCACTACGCAAGTAAAAGGTCGAGTTGATTTTACTAGCTAAGTTCATTCGATAGCTTTATTATTATTATTATTCCATGGACTATGAGCGACGCAGGGAACATGAGCAGTTGCCGACCCCAGTGATTCGTTCCGATACGGAATGCTGGCGAGTTATTCGAAACTATTCCCAACGCATTCAGAGCGAGGCTTGGGTGTACGGTGGACCAGCAGCTTATTTTTCCTTCAGTAAGAATTTCTGCTATGGAATTTGTAGCGATTTGTGTGTGTGTGTGTGTGTGTGTGTGTTTGTTTGTTTGTTTGTTTGATCCTGCATAGGGATGTTGCGAATTGAGTTAAGGCCACATTTTATGTTGCCTTGTTACAGACGCTTAGTTATATTTGTTTTTCTTTTCCCCCTGTATTAATCTTGCGATTTTTTTTTCTTTCATGGGTGCGTGCTCATGGTGTATAAATACAATAAATCTGCATTCTTTTTCCTTTTGTTCCCTTCTTTAAATTTATTACATTATTATTATCGACATTATTTATATTTTCTTAGACCAGAATTTTACTCATGGAAGTGCATAGCGATGATGAGTGTCCATTGCTTCTTGGTGAGTATATTCGATCAAATCCTTCTTCTGCGATAAGTGCACGGTGGGTATTTGAACTTCCCGATGAGGAACAAGGAGATTGTGTAGCGAAAATGGTTGAAAATGCAGTTTATCAAGAGACCTGGCTATCATATTTTAAATATGCAGCGAAAAAGGAAATTCCGGTAACCGAGGAGATAGCGTTAGAGGCGATTCATTCAGTTGGTCTTGATCCTTATAGTGCGCCGTTATGGTTAAAGGTTGTTGAACTTTGTTCGAATGAGGAAAAAAAAAGGAAATATTTCAACTGGCGCTGCGAGTGCCCTTGTATCAACAAGGTCTGGTGTATAAGGCATATAAAGCGTTTGAGTCAGAAGTCTCCAAGCAAACTGGACAACCCACGTCTAACTTTCTGTCACTCTCTGAAGTTGTGCAATATTCCAAGATCTTGGAGACGGAACCTAGTTGGCCCGATCGGTTTGTAGACGTGCATAACTGCAAAGGTGATCGCCGAGACGCAGTCATTTCCCAATGGAATAGTTTGTTGCAGTGTATGTTTGAAGAATATGAAGAACCTCAACTAGCTAAGGATCTTCAGTTGAGGCGGATTGAACTTGCATTTCGTCAGCTATGTAGTCAGTTTGCTCATGAGGATGTGTGCTGGTACGCGTATGCATGTTTTGTGGCTGTGGAATTGAAGGATGATATACAAGCTCGGGAAATAGTTGAAAAGGGACTTTGTTGCATTGGTGATAATTCCATCGCTCTTCGCTCCTTGCAGGCGTTATTATCCAAGTCAGAACTTGAGCCAGATTATACTTTTAAAGACCTGGTGAAGGAGGGGATACTTTTACAGAGATTGTGTGCAAATAGTGCAAATGAATCATTGAAAAATAGAAAACGGTTTCGAGATGTTGGTAAAACAGCAGCTGCAAATCGTATTAGTGACTGGAGATTTTATCATCAGTGGGCTTCCGCCGAACAATGCGTTTTGAAAGATGCGCAAATGGCTTCAAAGGTGTATGAGAGAGGGATGTCCTGCGCTGCAAAATCTTTGAAAGATGCTGTATTGCTGTCAAATGAGGCTGTTAAGCATCATCTATGGCGACAGGATGAGCGTGAAGTTCTTGGCTATTCAGAGCGTCAGATTGAGTTGCTCTCCTCTACGCAGCATGAAGGTCTTATACGGGCTAGTTGGAATCAACTTGTTCATGTGGAGTCCATTTTGGGATTGCCGTCGCTACCAAAAACGCTAAAAAGACGCGCAGAACATTGCGGGGGTGTTGCACGTAAATCAGTTATTGAGCGCTACCGTGTGGGTAATTATATTCCCTGCTCTGATGAGGACCTTGATTGGCTTGAATACGTGGACGATCTCTTCAAGGCTCGCAAGGAGGAGCAAGAACCCGTTTTTGAGGGGGTAACACCACTGAAGCATATGACGCTTGCTACAGATACGATGTCCCATCTTATTCCTCTTTTACCAGACGCATCCTTGTGGACTACCTTTGAGATGTGCCCCAACCGTGAACGGTCTTCAGGAACCGAAGATGCTGACGAAATTGTTGGATCCCGAACACTACGCGGGCGACTTGTGTATAAGTTAAAAATTGATGATAAGACAGAGGCCCGATTAAAGAGGGAGGCGCAATTGCGTCACGAAAAAGAAAATAAAGATGTGGGTAGCAAGACACTCAAGGGCCCACATACCGCTCTCCAGGCATTGGTTGAAAGACTAGAAGCCAAAAACTGGAATGCAACTCAACTAAGAATGTGTAGGGTGCTTAATGCCGAGTGGCTTATGAGCACACTCACTCACGGGGAACTGGACCTTCGCAAACGGCGTTCGTAACCTCAGATGGGAGAGTGAGGAATAAAGCTTATTAGTATTCTTTCTTTTCTTCCCCCTTCCACACTGAGCGATAGGTACAAGCACACATAAGCCCTTTATTTATGTCTCACGCAAGCAATCCTTCACACTTCTCACTATTCACTCTCTCTATCCTGTTCCCCTAGTCACTGTTATTTATTCTTTTGTTTGTATTGTCTTCTTCTTGTTATTGTCTCCTGCGGTACTCGTCACAGTGTGTTTTATTTTATTTTATTTTATTTTATTTCTTTTTGCAATTCTTCGCAGACGAAGAAAAGAAGAAAGGGAAAACAAAACAAGAAAAAAAAAGAGCAATGACAAAGATGCGGAATGACGCCCTTCGTGTTTTGGGAAGCAATCCGTTTGAAAACATTTCGCCCAAGACGCGTCTGAGGCAGCTACTGCAAACTCATCAAGGTAGAGATAAATTGTTTAAGGTGGTGCAATACTTTCTTAGGTTAAAACTATGGATGGATTCTGTGAATTTTAATCTCAACTATGTTCCGGGTGCAGAATTTACTGCTGTCGAACGCAATTTGATGACCATTGTGAATACCCGAAGGCTGTTTCGTGTGGGGCGCTTTGTTGGAGAATTTGTTCGAATGCGTTTGACGCTGATCAAGTGCGCCGAACTTGTGTACATTCCGGTCCAGGGCGGACAGTGGCTTGCGTCTTTTATTCAATGGCAGATGCTGTGCGATATGTTTGCTCGAGCTCTCATGTGCGTGAAGTCCTTGTGCGAAGATGTCGCCTTTCTTACGCAGAAAGGTTTTTTTAACAGCCAAGTCGCGGACCAGCTTATTAGCGTGGCTGTGCGGTGTACGCTTCCTGTGTTTTTGATCGACCTCTTCCTAAACACGCTTCGGTTGTTGCAGGGAATCCTTGATGCATCACAGAAGCCGGAGAAAAAGGAGCTCTTACTCTCAAAGGATTCCTTTTCGCTCTTGTCAAAGTACGACCGCGTGGATAAGCTGCGGCGATGCATGGCCAGGCCCAACCCTCTGGGCAAAGGAAATGTGGATGACGCCGAAGAGGAGGAGCTACGAGCGATAGAGGCGGAACAAGAAAATGAAATTATGGTCAACTCCTATCAAGAGCTACTCTGGAAGGACTTTGAGTTGCACTGGATTTTTGTCACCGAGCTCAAGTTGCTTCTTGACCTCTTTGTGGCCTTGTCCAATTTGAACCATTGGGATAGTCTTCGGGGCCTGGTTAGTATAGGAGGTCTATGCTCGGGGCTTCTGTCCGTCTACAGAGTCTGGACCTATGGACGTTGACGCCGTAAAGATGAAGACGCAAAATAAAAATAAATGTTGCTGACGATGACAACGACGCCGACAGTGAATGGACGTGGATGCATCTTTCCTGGATATTCATTTACTCCGCCATGGCATTTTTTTTTTTCCTCCCTGTTGTTGTTGTTGCCTTTTGCTTCCTCCTCATGTGTTTTTACTATTTGGTGCTTCTGGAGGTAAGCCTCCTGCTGTGGCAGGCGACATTCTCTCGCTCCCCCCTGTCTATCACCGCGGCACAAAACCACAGCTGTTGCGGTAGTTGGCGGCAATGAGCTCTGGAGCGACGCCGAGGGCCCAGAGGACCGCCGCCCCCGTGTCCTCATTGGCGTGTGTCGGGCGAAACGCGGGGGACTGGAGGAGCACGTTAAAAGTCTTCGTGGAGGAGGTGACCCGACTAAAGGGGGAAACGGACGCCCTTAAAGCCACCCGGGCTGCGATGGAGGCCTCGTGGCAGCAGACCGTGGAAAAGGTGAGCCTGCTCACCGATGAGAATCGTTCGTCGCAGCAAATCCTGTGGTCCTTGTTGGAGGAAGAGCGACAGAGGGCGCTTGCGGTGGCAACGGAAAGGGAAGAGTTGCTAGCGAGAGTGAGGTGCGTGGAAGAGGCGAGTGCCTGTAAAGAGAAGGAAATGCAGCGGCTGGCCGAGATGCTGGAAACAGAAAAGATAAAGCATAGCGTTTGCGTGGCCTTGCACGAGAAGGCGATGGAGGAAAAGGAAGCAGAGCATCGAACGGAGCTTAGTTTGCGGGAGAAGCGGTTAGAAGAGATGCAGCTTGAGTTGCGGCAGCAACTGGAGAGGCACGCACGTGAACTTCTGGCAAAGGACACATTATTAGATGAGGAGAGAAGGCGCCGGCGAAAGCGGTATGAAAGCGCCGACAAGGAAGACGTCTCGCATTTGCTTCACGTCAAGGGGGCGACGCCTTCGTCTCGACTCTCTTCGGAATCCACAACAGGCGTTGCCGATCTCTCTTGCAATACGGCCTCCATGACGCGGGTGGGGTCGGTCGTGGTTGCCGACGACGGTGCAACGCGCAGCGGCCCGAAGAAGAGCCGGCTGGAGGCGGCTCGGCAACAGCAACGACGACGCAACGGAAGCTGCAAGGAAGATGTGACACTGCTTTCGCTTAACAAGCTGAATGACCTTCAAGAAAACTTCCGTCTTTAGAGTGACCTCCTCTGGCGTGTGTGTGTGTTTTTTTTTTGTGCCCTGTTTCCCGCGTCTTTCGGACGTGTCTTCTTTGATTTCCTAGAAGCTCTATCTGTGTTGAACCCTTTGTGCATTTTACACCTCTTCGGTTTCTGCTGCTGTTCCACAGAGAGGGGTGCTGCATTGGCGGCACTGCGTGTAAGGGGCGGCCTCGTCATGGGTCTTTTTCTTCTTTTTCCTTTTCTCCCCTCACGAACTCATCCCCCCAAGTGAACTGATATGTCCGCTGTTCTTGCTGTGGCTGCTTTCGCATGCATCCTTGCGGTTCTTCTGCAGTGGCAGCGCAGGTCTACCGAACTTCGCCCCCGCATACTTGGTGATGTTCTCCTCGTCTTTGCCCACCCGGACGATGAGGCAATGTTCTTTTCGCCGATGCTGGAGCACCTGAAGCGACACGGCGTGGAGGTCCACTTTCTTTGCCTCTCGAATGGAAACTACGAGGGCCTAGGCGCCGTTCGCGAGAAGGAACTCGGCCTTAGCGCACAGTACCTGGGGGTTCACCGAAACAAGGTGAAGGTGGTGAACCACCCGGCCCTGCAGGACGGGATGCAGGCGTCGTGGGACGCGGCACTGATTCGGCAAGAGGTGGTGTCGTACCTTCAAAAGGCGAAAAACGTACGCACGGTGGTCACCTTCGACCAGTGGGGCGTGTCGTCGCATCCGAACCACGTCGCGGCCTATCACGGGGTTCGCCTGGTGAAGGAGAGCATGCCGCCGGGGATCGTATTTTTGAGTTTGCGCACTAGAAACCTACTGGGGAAGTACAGTGGGGCGCTGGCAACCGTTCCATACATGACAAACGTCTGTTCGCCGAGTAAACAGCAGCGGCTTGTTTTTCTCATACCCCCTCTCGCGTCCTTGACAAGCTTCTTCGCAATGCGACTGCACAGGACACAGCTCGTGTGGTTCCGCTACCTCTTTGTGGCGTTTTCCTCCTACACCTACGTGAACGAGCTGGAGGAGCTGAAGGCGCTCTAAAAAACAACAACAACGCGTTTTCCTCAGGGCGAACTTTGGAACTTGAAAACGTGCGGACGCTGTCACGTGGGGCGTTGGGGATGCAAAAGGAAGGCGAAGGAGTACTGCCTGGTTCCCGGTGCCGTCGATGTTGCTGTTGCTGGTGTTCGGGAAGACCACAGTGGTGGTGTGGGTGTGTGTGTGCGGATGTTTCTTCTTCTGTGTGTTCTCTCTCTCTCTTGCGGGGGCAGGGATGAAGAAGAATGCGTTCAAGCCGCCAGCAAATTGGAGCAAGTTGTACGCCAAAGTGAAGGAAATCCGCGACAAGTTGGAGGCCCCCGTTGACACGGTGGGATGCTCGAAGCTGTTCGATAAATCCGCGTCCGCTGAGACGCGGCGGTATCACATTCTACTCGCACTGATGCTGAGTGCGCAGACGAAGGACCACGTGACGGCGGCGGCGATGCATGCCCTCATTCGGTATGGGTGCACCCCTGAGTTGGTATCGAAAATGTCGGAGAAAAAGCTTGACGGCTTTATTTCCAAAGTGGGGTTTCACAACACAAAGACAAAACACATTAAGGCGGCGACCGAGACCATTTTGAAAAAGCATCAAGGCATGGTGCCGCGCGCCTACGCGGATCTCATTGCTCTACCAGGCATTGGGCCCAAGATGGCCCACCTGTTCCTTCAGGAGGCAGATGGGGTCGTGCTGGGCATTGGGGTGGACACCCACGTCCACCGCATCAGTCAACGCTTCCACTGGGTCCCAGCAACGGTGAAAACCCCGGAGGACACACGAAAGGCACTTGAGTCTTGGCTCCCACCGGAGCACTGGGGCGAAATCAACGGACTACTTGTGGGATTGGGGCAAACCATATGCACCCCCCGGCTACCGCGTTGCTCCGAGTGCCCGGCCGCCGAGCTGTGTCCCAACGCGTTTAAAGAGGCGAAGACGGGCGGAAAGCGGGGACGGATTGCCGACATTGAAGACGTCGGCACGCCGAGGGTCCGTAAGAGTCGTGGACGTGGTTGTACCTTCTATTTTTTTTTTTTTTTCTATTTTTGCTTGATCCCTCACGCACACGCACACACACCATCTTTATCTGCAATTTGTGTATTTTTGGCCTTGCTTATTGTTCCCTGTTGGCGCCCTGCAATGTATGTATCCTCGTTCACTCTCAACATGATTACTTTGCCTGCCTTTGTATGATAAGAACCACTCTGAAGGTGATCGCTGACAGCTAATCAAGATGTCCTTTGACTCCCCGTACAATCGTAATGTCTACATTGCAAGTCTCCCCGCCAACTACACGGATGAGGAGCTCCACGCCTTGTTTGCCCCCTTTGGAAAAATCCTGTCCACGGCTCTCGTGAAGGACAAGAACACAGGGCTCTGCAAAGGTTACGGATTCGTGCTAATGGAGCGTTTCCAAGATGCGTACAACGCGGTGATTGCCCTCCAGGGGCACAGCATTGCCCACACACGCGTGCAAGTGCGCCTGGCCCGGCCAGAAGCCTCGGCAAAGAGGGTATACCCCCTCATGTATCAGCAGGCCATGATCTACGATGCGGTGTCGCCGACGTATTTGCTCTTGCTCCCCCAACCGTACATCATGAGCCAGTGACGTGTGAACCTCACCGCAGTTGAAGAAGAAGAAGGAAACACAAAGGCCTTTTCGTTTCTGTTTTTTTTGTTCTTTTTTTTCTTTTTACATGCAGGACGAAGCTAAGGAAGGGAAACAATGAACTGCCGCGTTTTTCCGCCTCCATTTTCTTCCTTTTTTTTTTCTGGTGTTTGTGAATGTACTGCATATCCTTCACCGACGCCATAACACACTTATGAAAACCAACTACTTAAAATTTCAACAACAAATATTGCCAACACTCAACGGCATACGCACACCCGGACTTCATGAGGCGCTCGTCTCCGCAGTGCCAAGAGGGGAGGGGAGGGAGGGAAAAAAAAGTACATGAGGGAGGATCAAGATGCATATCTATAGATATGTATCTATCTATGGGAGCCCCTTACCTCTCTGTGTTTGTCCATTTTTTGTTTTTTTCTTTCTTTTTGCTTCGCCGTGCGGTGCAGCACCGCCGCCAGGGAAAGAGCTCCCTGCGGAAAGGGGAGCGCCAGGGAGCGGGCGAGCCAAGAGAGAGAGAGAGACGCGAACGACTAACCAAGAAGAAGAAAGGGCGACTGCTTTAAGG